CACACACACACACACACACACACACACACACACACACACACATTTTGTTGTCTATTGGTGGGGAGCGACACATGCTGGAAACTGGGTCCAACGTCATATGAACATCGTTAATAGAGCACTAGCTGGACCACCCCCCCCACACACTCTTCAAGTTGTGTACAACGAACATAGCAAAACATACGCACACTATAATCACGACCTCACCTTTCGCCAATCGCATCAACAAACGAGCTACGGGTTGCGCACCCGTGCCCTCACGGTAAGTCAATGAGGTGAAAGAAGGAAAAAAGGAACTGTAAGCGCGCTACACAGCTGGAAAATTCAATATTATTTTGCCCGACGGGGAAAATGGGCCTCGTTCCACTACTTTCGACTCATGAAAAAACTTCTGAGTGTGTTAAGAGTTGACAGAGATCTAAAACTCGTGAAAAAGGAGGCATCGCTCCACTTACTCTAGACTGAAGAACTCTAGAAGCATTCACAAAGTTATGACAACGTTTCTAGAGTAAGTGGAGCGAGGCCGGTCACTCTCGAAACTGGAGTGCAAGAGTACGGAACGTCCCCAGCGGGTTCCACTTTCGAAATGGCACCTTCCGCGGGGCACAGATCCGCCAACCTTGAATTTTAGAGTCGTGAGATGACGGATCTCCAAGGGTCCCGATCACCCACAGTGCAAGTTGAAGGAAACAGGCTTCGGAAGGCGGAATAGTGCTTCGAAAGCGGTAAAAAGAAGAAGAAAAAATAGCGATTGCATATGACCACGTTCTAGCGGTGCATACATTCCAGTGAGCGGCTTTAAAGTTGCCATCTTGTGGGCCCCCATCTTCCGAACGGTCACGATGCCCCCGCAAGTCTGTTTCGTCCGCTGTCCCACTCACAAGCGGGTCTCAAGCAGAGCGTGAGTACTCAATGATTTTCGTGAACACTTCTACAGCGCCAACTCGTTCTCACGGTCACGGGAGGAGGCACACTCATGAAAAAAGAGGCCGGAGCGGGGGTAGGAGGGAGCGTCGCAGGCTGTGAACTTTATAAAAATCGAGAGTGTCATTCGAGAGCGCTTTCTGACGAAGGGTGTTGTCATGAGTTTCAGTCTAGAGTAAGGGCCTCGCTGCACTACTCTAAACTCTCGGAATATTTCGAGAGTTTGACTACCGTCTTTCCCCGAACATAATATATATGCCTTGTATTTGAGTTTTCCAAAAAAAATGGTTTTTAAAAAGGTAGACCTTTTTTTCGAATACAAGGACACTTCGAATATAACACATATATGTTATATTCGAATAATATGATATATGTTATATTTGAATTTCATGAAGAGAAACTTGTTGTATTCGAATAAAACCTTTTTCTTTTTGTTTTTTCCTCGAAGGTCAATACCTGTTTTGTTCTTGCCCTGGTGAACGGGACAATCCCGTGCAGACCCGTAATCACAGATCATTGTCCATGCTCTCTCTCTCTCTGTGCGCGAAGGCGCTTCTGACAGGCAAGAAAGTGGCACGGCCAAGACAGCGGGAAAATAAGAAAGTCACTCACGAAGGTCTTGCTGCACTACCGTGGTCACCGAGACAAAAAAGAAAGGGGTTGTATTTGTCCACGTTCTAGTGGAAGATTCATTCACATTTTGCACATTTGCTGAGGAGTGGAACAAAGGCCCAAGTATAGGAAAGGAATGAAACTCAACCCATAACATGGAAAGGTACGTCGCTACTTTACTTTACCTTTTTGCCAAGGCTTTGAGCGCAGTGCAACCAGGCCCTAAATAGAGCGAAGGCTTACTCTGGAAACTTCGAGAGTCTAGAATAGTGGAGCGAGACGCAATAAGGGTGTACTCACACTAGAAGTATCTCAAATGCATGCGACGGCATTCACAACCATACCTGGATGTATCTGGCCGCAATTCGATCCAAACTCGTAGTGTGAGTACGCCCTAAGGCCGCATAATTGACTTACCGTGAGGGCACGGGTGCGCAGCCCGTAGTTCGTTTGTTTATGTGGTTCGGGAAGGTTAAGGCAGTGATTATGCTGTATGTATGTTTTGTCATGTTCACTATACACAACTCGAAGAGCGTGTGTGTGGGGTCCCGGTTGGTGCTTTATTCACGATGTTCATGGGACGCTGGACCCAGTTTCCAGCAGGTGGCGCTCCCATAATAGACAAGAGAATCTGTGTGTG